AGTTATGGAACAGATTAGTAACCATTTTTTTTCATAGCTAGCTGAGGAGAAAATAGATAAAAATTGTTTGGGTTCTGGGGGTGTGTGAGTGTTTGAGTGACAGAGCAACTATTCAATAATTGAGGTTACATCAAGATTTTCCCTTAGAGCAGGACTAAAAATTGACTCTGTTTCATACTGCAGTGGTTGAATTTAGATTCCACATTTGGCACAGTAATTCTTCGTTGGACAGTTGAATTTTCCATGCAATTTTTTCCACGTTTTTTTAACTAACTTTTGCAGAGGCACTGTTTTAAAATGCTCCCTTTTTGAAATTTGGTTTTGTTTTCCTCATGTATCATTAGGTTTCTGAAGCTCAATAGTCCCCACAAACTACTCCCCCACAGACATACTAATAACTTCTCAGATATAGATTGCTTTTTGAACTTTTAAAATGAAATACACAGTTTATTTCCCTTATTTGTCATAACCTAGATGATCTTCCTTTCCCGACTACAGGTGTATTGATGAGAAACAACAAATTTCAAATATATTAGGAAAGTTTATTTTAATTTTTCATTGAAACTTTGTTTTAATGGATGTTTTTAACTATTTCTCTCCCCAGTTGTGGTCTGTACATACCTCTGGTAAGGTCTGTTCATACCTCTGGGCAGCAGAGGTATATGGGGGTGGACTCTGGGGGAGGTGGTGGTGCTCTGGAGATGCATGTGGGGTGAGTAGAAATGTTGAAGATAGAGCAGGGAGTGGCGGGAAGCCGGAGAGAAATGTACTTGGATCCATGTGTGCTTCAGAAGGGCGTTTGGAAGAAAGGGGATTTAACAGAGGTATTTGGGACATGTGTGAGGGAGAAGCTTTTGCATCAGGAGTGAGATATGTGGGTGTATATAGGGGCCATGGGCTGGGCAGATGAGGTTCAGTGTCCCTATGCTGCAGCCTTGCCACTTGTTCAGGGGCTCTTCTTGATACTACTGCTCTAGCTCCGTGGTGCCCCAAAGCAGCATCACTGAGGAGATCTCTTCAAGCACTGATGCCTCACTTGAAGAGACTCTGCATCCTCTGGCACTGCTGCTTTGGATCTCTGGAGCACCAGGGAGAACAAGAGTCTCACAGCCAAAACCCTGTATTCCTAGTTAAACCGCAACTTGGTCCCTCAATAACCCCGATCGCTCAAGTGAACTGAAACGCAAGTGGTTAAAATATATTCAAGTCCTGGGCTTTTCTTATTTTTAAAGTGGTTGACACCTTAAATATTTAGCTATTAGCATAAAAGCTGGTTGTTTTTAATGCTTTAAAAGTCATCTCTCAGATCACATCTTAGTTCTGAAATGATATTTTTGCTAACTGCAAATGGGATTTCTGCTTTTTCTGTTCAGTTTTATTTAAACTATGTGTATATATATTGTGACGGGGCAAGGCCAGATGGCTATAGAAAAGTAGTGGGAGATAGATATATTAGCTCCAGGCTAAACAAATCCCTAGTACCAGGTTAAGTGGAATGGAAGCTGCTCCAGGTGAATTAAGACACCTGGGGCCAATTAAGAACTTTCCAGAAGGCAGGGAGAATGCTAGGTTGATTGGGACACCTGAAGCCAATCAGGGGCTGGCTGAAACTAGTTAAAAGCCTCCCAGTCAGTCAGGTGGATGTGGATGTCAGGAGCTGTGGAAGGAAGTTGTGCCATTGGAGAGGCTGAGTAGTACACACCATATCAGGCACAAGGAAGGAGGCCTTGAGGTAAGGGTGAAGTGGAGCTTGAGGAAGTGAGGGCTGCTGTGGGGGAAGTAGCCCAGGGAATTGTACATGTCATGTTTCTAAAAGGTCAGCTACCATAGCTGATAGTATTAGGGTCCCTGGGCTGGAGCCCGGAGTAGGGAGTGGGCCCGGGCTCCCCCCCCAGCTTTGCCCCCTGATTAATCACTGAGACTGGGAGACAACAGAGACTGTGCAAGGAAGGATAACTTCTCCTCACCTCCCTTGCTGGCTTATGATGAAAATGGCTCAGTAGACTGTGACCCTTTTCTCTAGAGAAAGAAGGGTTACGTGGAGGGTCACAGTGAGCCTCTGAGGCTAGCGAAATCCGCCAGGAAACATGGGACCCATGGAGGCAAGCACAGAGCTTTGTCACAATATGTATGTATTATGTACAGCATTCTGTAAAACCTCACACATTTTCACTTTACTAATATGCAAATCTGATGATACTCTCACAAAACCCAGCAGTCTCATCCCATTTCACAGCAAAGATTGTAATGTAGTCTCAGCTGCTGCAGCATCAGGGACTCAGGTATGGGGACATATCTCTTGACCGCAGTCAAGGGAGGGGTAGATGGGAAATGATTTTGTGGTTCATGTGGCTGACACTGAAGGGAATGCGGTTAGAGCTGCAAGTGTTGGAGTTAGTTTTCACAGTCCTTCTATAATCATGACATTGTCATCTTTGTATAGGCTGTGCCTGAAATTGGTGATTTTTGGCTCATTCAATGGAGTGGCTCAAATTCCATTTTTAATTATGACCTGAGGCTGGAGTACGAATTCTGGACATGTTATCCTCAATCCCCATGTACGAGGACAGAATCAAACTAGTCTTTAGGTACTGAATAAAGTACTGCAGTACCTACAATTTTAAATTATTTGTTCTGCATCCTGTTGTCACATTCACTATCATTCAAGGTGGAATCTACTCCCCTTTAGAATCATCACTTTTTCTGTCCTATGTGTCTCTTCCTTCCCCATCTTCTTCTCTCTGTTTCTTCCCTTCTTCTTTAGTTCTGGGAATTTATGAGTGTAGAAATGGTTTTGTTCAGGTTTAACTCTTAAAAATCAGCTCTTAATTGGAGTGGAGACTGTGGGAATAGGCCTTTTTTTAATTATTATTATTGTAGTTTAATCCATATACTTTAATGGATTCTTTATGGGAGGCAGGTTGGGGAGTAAATATTTTTTCACTGGACAATGCATTATGTGGTTTTCAATTAAATGTTTTTTTCACCCAAAGCTATAGGCTGACACACGTACATAGAGGTGAAATGGTTTCTGACCTCAAATTGTGAGTGGTGAAATGGTGACTTGAAACTATTACAGTCACCCCAAACCTACCTCTCCATTTGTGGTGTCCAGACCCTGGTCTGTAAGTGGTAGACCACAGGTCCACTCTTAGTATTTTGAGTTTCATAAATTTTAAAATAATAGATTTCTTGTTAGATACTTGAACTCGCCCACGGCAATGATGTGGGTGCTGTACCGATCTGTGGTACATTGTGCCATCTTGAGCTTAGTAAAAGCACAAGAGTTATTGGAACTTGCAATCTCCATACGCCCCAATTTAATACAAAGATTTAATAATTTTTTTTAAATGTACTGGGAGATATAGAAAGGTTCAGGCCAAAGCTGTATTTGCGAGTTCAATAGCTCATGTGTTCTTCTACTGTTGGGACAACCAAACCATTTGAGTTTGGGTCAGTTTAGAGCTGGGCATTTTTTGCTTAGAAGCTCTGGTTTCAATGTTAGAGCCAGATTTTGGCAGGGCATTTTGTGTAGGTACCCTTCCCAAAAATCAGTGCCTCTGCGATGGAAATATGGGGCAGAAGTCATGCATCCCATTTGTTGTTTCCCTTAAATTTGTTCAGAGAATATTTTGGAAGTTGAGAGAGACTTAATCAAGCAAGGTGAATGAACAACATGATGGTAATTGAAATTTAATGTCAATAAATGCAAAGTAATGGAAATTGGAGGGGAAAATTAAATTGTTTATACACATTACAGAGTTCTAAATTAGCTGTATAATTTCAAGAAGGGGACCAGGGCTTCACTGAAGACATCTCAGTGAAGACCTCTGCCTGGTGCAACTGCAGTCAAAAAAGCAAAAAAGATGCTAGGTTTCATAAGGAATGAGGAATATGGGAATAATATAAGACCTTAGATAAATTAGTGGCATGACCTCATCTTGAATATGGTGTGCAGTACGGTTATCCCATCTCAAAAGGATATTGCAGGACGAGAGGGAGTTTAGGAAAGTGTGACAAGAATGATTAAGTACCTGGAAAAGAACCGAAGACAAATTGAAAAGATTGGGATTATTTTCCTTAGGAGATAATAGAGGACATGATAAAAGTGGATAAAATAATAAATGACTTAGAGAAGGTAGATGGGGAAACTTCAGCTCACTCTGTCTCATAACTCAAGAACAAAGACATTTAATGAGTGAATGGTGGTAAATTCATAACTCATAAAAGGAAATACTTTTTCACACAATATGTAACTAACCTGTGGAATTATCTGCCACAGGAAGACATTTAGACCATTAACATAATAAAATTCAAAAAGGGATTAGACATTTATATGGATAACAAGATTATTGAAAGTTGTTATAATTAATGATAACAATGTTGTGGAAGAGCTATTAAACCTCATGCTTCAGGGGATAATCCAGTCTCTAACTGCTAGAGATCAGGAGACCTTATGTGGGAGGCAGATTTTCCCACGTTTACCTACTGCTTGTTTCTTACCCCTTCCTCTGAAGCATGGCCATGTTGCTGGCTGCTGTCAGATAGAGGTTCCTGGACTAGATAGCTCTTGGGTCAGATCCACTATGGCAGTGCCTATGTTCCTCTGCAAACCAAGTGTTGCAGGAATCATGCCATCGCATTCCAGGGTAGGGCCTGTTCACCAGGCTGCCTGTATGCCCTCTGAACCAGCAATGGCCAATAGACTCTCAGCCTGCAGGATTATTCTCCTGGAAAAAATAATTTACATGTTTGGCTTGAGCATGCAGTTGCTGCCAACCAAAATATATGTGCACATTTTGAGTCCATTTGCATGTTAAGTCAGAATTTGTCCTTTAATATATTTTTAATATTTCTTTTTAAACTTGTATAGCAATAGCTATTATAAATCAATAAGGTGATTCCAAATGTTCTTGTTTGTTCAGTATAGAATTTAAGTCCTAGTATTTTTATTGGAATGCTCTCTCCTTTTAGTGTTATATAAATTTGTTCTTCTCTAGACTAAACTTCAATGGATGTGTGAAGAGGTGAAAGAGAGAGAAAGCAAGGAAAGGAAGCTGCGGCGCCACCTATTGCAGAGTCGAGAGCAGCTTGAGCACTTGACACTGAGCACGGAGTGTGAGCGTCAATCTCTCTTTGAACAAATAAAAAATCAAGAACATGTCCTGGAGGAAGTTAACAGAGAAAAGAGAGGTGAGTTGACCAGTTCATTTTTGTTAATGAAGGAAGAGAAAGAAGGGAGAAATGCTGATCTTGAGAATTACCAAAGTACATCCAAATCTGCTTTATCTGGTAGTCATTAAGAAATCCAGTTGGTGGTTGCTAGTGCTAACTAGGGAAACAGATTTTTGTTTCCCCTTGGTTAAGTTGGCTTATTTTGCCAACAGCTATATTTCAGTTCAGTAAATGTCTGAGGAACACATGGGTTTGTGAAATGGGAAGTAGACATGCCAATTAGTCTTTCAGTTCTCATATTTGAGGCATATCATGACCAAAAACATTACTAGAAATTATAGAGGAGAGATAGGAGACAGCATTGCTAGGAGCTTACATTGTCTTTGCCTTCATCCTGCTTTTATCTGTAAAATAAATTATTCTCAAGTGATCTCTTTTTTGTTATACAAAAATATGAAGAACTTGTTTTGGAATTTTCCCATTTTTTATTTTAATGGTCATAACTACTTTTTGCTGTCATGAACCACATAAATAGTATTGTTGTTTGTCATAATGATGGCCTATTAAGAAGAATGGAAAATACAAAAATGGTAAATGTTAGAGGATGTCCTGAATTCCTTTTATGATGGTCTAATGAAGCCTGATTACAAGATTTATTGGTAAATGTCTTGTCTCTTACACATGTTAAAATACTGAAGAAAATAAGCTTTGCATTATATAAAATGAGTTTTAACCAGTCACATGTGGGATGAAAAAATACAAAAATAAAACGGGAGAATGTATTTTTTTAAATTAACTTTGCATGTTGGAAAATAGGCATTTAACCTAATTTAAACTAGGACATTTTTTTAATGGAAAAGAGTCTAAGGAGCCCATCTAGTCAAATGCCTGATTGTGCTGTTATATTATTAGCATTATTGTTGGTACCCTTCTTATTCCATTTTCTTAGGCCTATGATGTCAAGCACATTTGAGGGCTATTATCTCTCTTCTCTTTGAGCTTTTTCTGTGTTTACATACAGATACCAAAGAAACAGCCAATGAGGTACCTCATTACTTTTGGGGGGTTTACCTTGTATTATGATTACATTGTTTATATGTTTTCTTTCTGGCTAATTAATATTTCTTTCTGGTTCAATAATCTTATTTTAGTTGCCTCTTTCTTTTTAGAAGATTCTGTGTTGGATTTTTTGCCAAGTTAGTGGTGAGTGAAGCTGGTAAAAATAGTTTGGAAGGATGGTCTTGTGATTAAGGCCTTAGAATGGAACATTGAAGATTTTGGTTCTGTTTCTGTCACAGACTTACGTGACCTTTTGCAAAACACTTCATGTCTTGGTGCTTCCATTGTTCATCTGTAGCATGGAGTTAATACTTTGTTATTATATCACAAGGATTTTGTGAGGATAAATTCACTAATGAATGTGAGGTCCTCAGGTCCTGTGGTTCTGTCACTGAAAAAACAATATGCAAAAATGCCAAACACAGGCAAGAAGAAAAGGAAACCAACACCAGGACCTAAAGAAATGTATACTTTATTTTTTGGATCTGTATTACTAACGTTTGTTCAATATTTTTGAGAGAGATCTTTATTAAAAAGATCTTGCATTTATATAGCACCTTTAATCCTGAAGGGTCCAAAAGCAACATATAACACTGAAAAAAGCAGCAACCTCGGGGTTAGAGAGTAACAGAAAAGAGCTACTCAACAATATGTGGCAGGAACTTTTTTGGCAAAGGATACCAGACCTATGCCAACAAAAAATATCTTTACATTTTTAAAGTCTATGAAGAAATTGTGTTTTTTAAGGTGTTGACCACAATAAATTGCATAATACTCAATCTGGCTACTTCAGAAAGATGAATCACACAACTGACCATGCTTGGATTTGGCCCTTCTGTGATTTTTAACCTGTGAACACTAGCAATTTGAAACTTGAAAACGGAGAGGCATATTAGCTGAGTTGAACTATTAGAATGGGAGGATGAGTGGTTGCATTTCAGTTTTGTACGTTGCTTTGGGATCTCAGGATGAAAGGTACTATATGAAAGTAAGATATTATTTACATGATATTTCTCAGCAATAATAAACAAAAAAAAATTATTGTTACATAAGCTTTAGCGGTATTGGAATGATAGTGCTTACAGCTCACTTAGGAAGGACCAGATGGCACATGGCCATCTAAAAGTCTGTCTTGTTTTTGAGTAGGTGCATTTTGTTCATGCTGGAACAAAGTTGAAGAAACAATTTAAGGCCCCAAGTAAACCGGTCCAGAGTCCAGTTTCAGTAGGTCTAATAAATAACTTTGTCAATGTGAATGAACAGATTGAGAAGAGAGGAACTAATCAACAGAGATGTAAATCGCCCAGATAATTTGTATATAGTGCCACATATTCAGAATTGAGATTTGAATACTTTTTTTGTGGGTGAAAGACAAGCACCCATTAATCTCACAAAGGCCAATCCATTTTTATTCCTATTTTTTTAAAATAAAATCCAAGATATTCCACCATGGTAAGTTCAAGTGATCAGAACTGAACCAGAACTTTGTGTTTCATCAGGCATATGCCATCCACTACTTTAAAGTTGCTCCTACAGCTCTCTGTTCTTTCATCTCATAATATTCTCATAACTTTTGGATTGTTAACCTTTGCATAGGAATCATGTCTTGTGTGTTATGTTCATGTTCCTGAAAATTCTCCTGTTCACACCAATTTCCAGCTATTCAAATCTGTTCTTAATATGTGGCTGATTCCATTTTGTCCTAAGGAAAGATGAGTTAGAAATCTCACAATTCAGTACTTTTACTCAGATTTGTTTCTTTGTAAGTTAATGGTTCCAGAGTAGACCAAAACTATTTCAGTAGCTTGTTCTCTTGTGCCATTATGTTGTGTCCTGACACACTGAAGTCGAAATATTCACAGGACTCAACCACATCATACTATGTAAAATTGAATTCCAGATCGCTTCATGTGTCCCTTCCTGTGCCCAGTTGTTCTTTCCTTATCATGAGTAACATGATGCTATGCTTCTTAATGCTTTACTTTGCCTTATCTTTGGACCCTTACAGGATAGGGAGATGTTTATTGCCAAAGTATGTGATATTTATTACCAAACTAACGGACCTCTTATTTACCATACTTTGTTTTATACCCTGTACTTTAGATATTGCCTTTCGTGATGTGGTAATCTCTCAAAATGGCCATATTTTTCATGTGGGTGCCTAAATTAGGTCTCTGCCAAATGGGCAGTTTTAGCCGCAATTATTTGTTTTGTGTTTATTGCTTTAAAAGTCTGCCTTCGACATCCACATTAGAAAATGTAGACTTAATGTCTTCTCTATTAATTTGGCTGAACTTATTAGAAATCTTGCATTTTTGATTTGCTCAATTTCTGTATTATGTGAGTTTTCCTGGGGGCTGTTTTCATTGAAGAATTTAGGTAAATTCATTCATTCATTCATTCTGTAATTAGTCACCCCAAGTTTCATGGCAGGTATTTAAGTGTTTCACAGGTGTGTTGAAGAATAGCTCTCTTAAAAGCACACTTTTTTACGGTACCCATTAATCTTTCTTTAAAAGCTCATTAAACTATATATAATAGCAACTTCAGATTAAATCTGGAAATAGGGAGTGTGTTCTTCATTTCTTTGTGTTCTTCTATCTGTAGAAATATATGCCTAAACTGGGCCTTGGTGAACTATGGTTTTAAATTGAGTTTGGATATTGAACAATAGGCCCAAAGCGTGTAACCAAAAAGAATAAGATCATGAGAAAGAGGGATTGTTTGTGTTAAACTTGTAGTGACCCTTGAAATACCAGCATTATCTTATTTAAGGTTTGAGCTGAAGGTTTCAAATAAAGAAAAAATGGTTAATTGGTTACCAGGTACAGTAAATAATTAGTTATATAAGTTTGCTTTAAAAAAATCTTTGTGTAATAATTAAAGAGAAATATAGTAAAGTAAGATGAGATGAAAACCTTGAGAAGAGTAGGGTTCAGCCCTAAACTTCCTCATCTGGCTTTGGCTAAAGTCTAACAACCAGGAATGACATCACTTTTTTTGTTATAGCATATAAAAAAAGAGACTTTTTTTTTTTTTTTTGTGGAGGTTCTTTCTCAGAGCTTTCCCCAACCCCCTCGGAGTCCCGCCATGATGGGAAGCTTCTTCTCAGGCCTGGTCCTGTTGTGAGTACTTTGGCTAGTATTTTTAACTTATGCACTTCTTTAATGACGGGTTTCAGAGTAGTAGCCATGTTAGTCTGTATCCCCAAAAAGAAAAGGAGGACTATTTTCCACTGAATGCATCCGACGAAGTGAGCTGTAGCTCACGAAAGCTTATGCTCAAATAAATTTGTTAGTCTCTAAGGTGCCACGAGTCCTCCTTTTCTTTTTACGCTTCTTGAAGTGTCCTCTGCATATTTCCACTCTTGGGGTTGGCCAGCCAGGTGCAGCTAGGACAGTGGAACCTTCTAGTAGCAGGGTGGATAGGGGTGCCTCGCCCCTCCCTTCCTTGCCTCCAGTGTTTGAGTGAATTAGGATGGCATGCCTATGAAAAGGGCGTAGAGCCCATTGCTGCCTCAGTTCCTTCCAGCCACAGCAACGATAAGACATGAACCTCTCCAGCTCCTCAGATCCATAGTTAAGTGCCTTTAGATTAGTTGTTGTTTGAAGTTAGTGTAGTTAATAGGATAAGTTCATTTTAGATAGTAGTTATATTTGTTAAGTAAAACACTGAGCAGTTCTGACATGGCAGATCCCAATGCAAAGATGCATGATTTTAAGAGGTGCGTGTCACGTCCATTGGTTTTCCCAGCATCTGACATACACATTCAGTACCTGAAGTGCTTAGCCAAGAATCATTCACTGGCACATGGTGTTACCTGCAGCACATTCTCTCCTTGAGCCTGGAAGGAGAGACAGAATAAACTTCAGGCTCTTCTGTTACAAGCGGCCTTGTCAGACAAGCTTCAGGGATCTGATAGTTCTAAAGGATCTGAAAATAATGAGAGGAGACTTCAG